AAAAAATTCAAGGCAAGCTTTGATGTGGCTTTAGCTGCCTCGATCGTCTGGCCGCATCTCAGAGATGTGTCACCTATGCCGGGAGGGAATAGGGAAATCACGTTTTGAATGGTAATGATAACATACTAATCACTTCCTTTCTTTGAAGATAGAAGCGAGATATTCTGTCAGCATCCCTGGCTGCTAGAGCTTGGAGGCACTGGTCTAGGTGTATTAGCTTAAGTGTGCATGTCAATACAGCTTGCATCTCCCAAGATCCATAGGGGCTCATTAGAGCAAGGTAGATCGTTTCGGTAGACAGCCACTCAGATAATATGTATGGCACCTCCTTTTTTTATTATTATTAGAAAGCATTTCTTCAATTTTCAAATGACATCTGTCAACAAGGCAAAGTTGTAGGAAATATCTTTTGACAAATATCCAAAATGTTGTTTTGGGGTAAAGGAGTGTTCAGAAAGGTGTATGTGATTACTTTAGGAGGGGGACTTATATTTTTTGATGGCTTGATTAGAGCTAGTCTAGGATCAAATTTCCAAAGGAAATGAGCTTACATGTTGAAATGTTGGTGTTCTGGATGGAGAAGAAACTAATGAAAATAGTAATTTCACTTCTTCACTATTGCAGACTCCCCAAGTGAAAACGTATTGGAAGACACATTTTTACTACAGTTTATTGTTATGTCGTAAATGGGCAAATGACTTCTGGGAAAAATATCTTATACCTGCTTGTGTGTATATTATTTATATATTCATATATATATTTAGGCATGAGAGATGTAAACCAAGAAACCAGTGTTTTGTTTCTACATCTTTTTACATCAAACAGTCTGAGGAATATTCATGCTGTTCAGTATTCTGTATGAATAGCTTGTTGTTTTTATCACTGCACTTGAGTAGTACACATAAAGGAAATATATCCTCTGCTGAAAATTAAGTTCATATTAAAAACTACCACATGCATTTAAAGTGATAGTTTCATCAAACTGTATTTGTATAGAAATCATGGGTGCTTGCATACATGTGTCACAAGGAAATCTATTTTGGAAATGCTCTTCAGACAGGTTTCCAATATAATAGTCACATTCTGTTTTGTGAGTTCATGTAATAAGAGTGAAGCACATATTCCATGTTTCAAAACAAAAATGATTGGTACACATAATTATGATTGATCATAGAACCTGCCCCTTCCAGTGGTCCTTGTAACAGGCACTTCGATAAAATATACGTGGATATTTTTATGTTTTGGAATATGAAAGCATAATTAAAAAGGGGGGGGAGAACATTGTAGACTGCTGCCTGATTTTTTTTTTTTCTCTCCCCTTTTCTTTTTCAGAGGGCACATCTGCTCGATAACACAGAGAGGCTGGAAAGGTCATCTCGGAGACTAGAGGCTGGATACCAAATAGCAGTGGAAACCGGTAAGAATTCTGAGAGTGAGCAAATTGTCTTGCTTATGCACAGCAGTCTTCACAACACATGACATTTCAGGGAAACTTCAAAGGCAAAACAGAGACAGCAGCCCGAGATGTGGTTTACATATTGGGGAGACAATTGGGAGCTTATTTGCGCTTATCTTTTTTCAAGTTAAAAGGCATGACATCTACTGAAAACAGTTCCTGAGGTTTAAAAGTATACATCTGAAAAGAGATGGAATACTTTGTCTAAATTCTACATTTGTCTTAATATGCAGTTACATGTTGTCAGTTTACCCACCCGCAATGACTGCTAGCACACACTGCAGACTCCAGTTGTTTTTGTCTTTTATTCATATATGTAAAAAATATAATTTTAATAAATTTGTAAGATACTAACTACAGATGATATATAACAAGGTTATCAGCTCAATTTCTTACAATCAGTTCGGTGACTGATTATGCAGCTGTTTCTATGCAATGAAAGAAGTAAACAAACCATACCCCAAAAGTGTACAGATGGAATAAAATTAAGGGAGAAGACTAAATTAAGGTTCAATTATTGAATTAGTAATTTTTTTATTGACTACAACTTTTCAGTTGGTATTTTCAGAATGTTTTTACTAAGCTTTAGCAATTTATGGTGGATTTTTTTTAAACCAGCAAAAGTTAAACCTCCAGAGTCTAATCCCCTTAAAGCCTGCGCAAAGTTACAGAAAGTTTCAGAAAAGGTATGTTTGAGTGGTAAAGTAATTTTCTGGCAGAGAGTCCCAATTAATTTATATATTTCAACATTTTTTTAGAATTCAAGCCTTATTTAAGAGTTAAATTAAGTTGAACCCTTGTAGAGTTAAATATGACTATGTTGAATGAATGGTATTACTAAAGTGCCTGCATTTTAATTATTCTGGTCTTAGTGCTGTGCACAATAATGAAATGGATGTATGGAGGTGTAGAGTTTGGAGGGGACAAGGAGAATTAATTCTGTTATTCCAGAGGATGACACATTAGTAGAGATGGAGATATGATAGGAATTAAGTTTGCTTTCCTGCAGATTTTCAGATCTGTTCTATCAATGGTCATAACTTTTGTTTTAGCAGCACTATTTTAAACTGGTCAAAAATTATTAGTTTTGTTGCATAAGGATCTTCTCTAGACAGCACTGGTCAGGCCACATCTGGAGTGCTGTTTCCAGGTCTGGGCTCCCTGGTACAGGAAAGACATTGACTTACTGGAGTGTGTCCGGCAAAGGGCCATGGAGAGAATTAAAAGACTGGAGCATCTTTCATGTGAGGACAGGCTGAGAAAGCTGGCACTGTTCAACCTGGAGACAAGAAGGCTCAGGGAGAGCTTATCAATGTGTATAAATAGCTGATGGGATGCAATGAAGAGGGAGCCAGGATCTTCTCAGTATTGCCCAATGACAGGACAAGAGGCAATGGGCACAAATTAAAACCTGTGAAATTCCATAAGAACACAAGAAAAGAATTTTTTTTCTGTGGGAATGGTCAAACACTGAAATAGGTAGCCCAAAGCAATTGTGGAGTCTCCATCTGTGAAGATACTCAAAATCCAGATGGGCACGGTCCTGGCTCTAAGTAACCCTGCTTGAGCAGGGCATTGGACTAGATGATCTCAAGAGGTCCCTTCACATCTCAGCCATTCTGTGATTCTGTGAGGAGGAGGAGGAGGTGGAGGTGACAACCCTTGTGTATCTATTCTACTTTATTTATATGGTGTCTTTTCACAATTATGAATACGTATGTTGCTTATTGTAATGAAACTGGATGATTTTCAACTCTGTATTAAGTCACATTTGGGTCTTTCTTATTACCTTAATCAGCAAAAATACATATACTATTTTAACCTGCCCCTGTGATCATCTAAGGATTAATCTGACATCACATAACTAATTTAATGCAATTTCACATTACCGTTACTGAAACTTACCATGATAAATTGGAAGCTTTTTTCCTGTTTGCATCTCTAAATTGATAAGCCCTTTCATCTCATGTACAGTTGTTCGTACAAGCTGAGATCTGTTGGAATGTCTGACTTCTTTCTTTGAGCAATGCCATTGATTCATGGGCTTCAGTGGTGTCTGAACACAATGCCACTTATGTCACCATCTCTAAGACACAATCCAACATGGACTGTCAGCTTTCCTAGTTTGTTGGCTATCATTTGTTGATATGAAGATGCTTGAATCTTTCAGGTTTCAAGTGCAGAAACCTCCTGAAGGACTAAGCAAAGCCTTTAGTATCTGATAACCAGTTCCATAGTGCTCAAGGCCTACTGTAAAGAGAAGAATGTTATTCTAAACATTCTTAGGGGTATGTTGCAAATTTAACAGGCATTTGAGTAGCTGATGTGGTAGACCAGTAAGTTTATCAGAGCATTTGTGTTTTAAATGCCTGAGCTGTATGACACAAACACAAATGAGGGAGATCTCTCAGGATATACAGGAAAACCAGTGGCTGTTTGAATCTTGAAGGTCTCCATTGTTTGTACCAAGCAGGAGAAGTTTTAATAATGGCTGATAAGACTACAAAGTTCACTCATCTGCTTTTTTTTAATCAAAATACTGTTTTAAAAATATTTATTGTTGTTATTTTTCTGTTTTAATGTTATCATCTGTTTTCATGGTAAGGAACAGACAAGTTTACAGCCTAGTTAGTAGGCATTTCCAACACCACTCATTACTTATGATGCTAGAGCTCAGTATTCTTAATTTTAGATCATTTAGTCTGAACTGTATAACCTCAGAATATGAGAAAAAAATTTAAAATGTATGAAAATTGCTGGTTTCAATCAAAAGGAGAGTCCATTGAATTGTTCCCATTTTGGAGGGGGAGATCTACTAATTCCATTCCTCATGCATCAAGTTGGATTCTAAAACTTCCTTATTTTGACTGCAGAGTATAGTGTAGTAAGGTATCCCCTTCTTTGTCAAGTCTTAGATATGTTTTCTCAGCCAGAAGTATTTTGAATGAGAAATAGTTCAAAACGCTTCATTCATCTTCAGAGATAAAAATGGCATGCAAATGTAGAACACTGTCAAGGAGAAGAAGAGCAAACCTTGTGGTAGAGGACCATTGTACTCTGCAGTTGAATTGCTTTCAGTAAGTTCCTCTCAACTGCGAGATACTTTCTAGGGAAAAAAAATTCTGGTATTTATGTAATATAGACTTCACCTTGTTTCATGACAATGTAAGAGAGAGATCCAACCATTGAATGCTGTCCAGGCTTTCATGGCAAAACTGCATTGCAGGTTTGTGTTTGGGTTTTTTTCCTTCATAAACCTTAGCTATTTCTGTAGCTTTCAGTATATGTAATTTGAGAACAAGTGTTGAGCTTACCTCTATGAGTGATGATTATTGGATATTATGCTGTGGCTCTGAATCTCTCTGAAGTATCTGTGCTATTAGAAGAGTTTGTAGTTTGTGGGTAGTAGATCTATTCTTTGCAACAAATCTTAAAATTTTGTCTTGGCATCTGTTTTTATATCGCTCTTGTAATATGTAAACATGGTGTTTTAAAGAAAAGAAATCGAAGAAAAACTCACTTGTTCCATTTACAGAAAATCCTTCTGAATCTCGACTTTAGGTTGCTTAAAATGTTTTTTCCAATTTACCTTACGCTTTGAGAATCCCAGGAATATGTAATTCTGAAACAGTTAAAGGAGAAATATCTCTGAACATGAGACACAACGGCTTATTTGCTACCCTTGTGTGACATGAATAATTCTTAGTACTAAGGGATCCAAGCAAATTTCAGTGGTTTTCACCTGTTGTAATGAACTACAGTCAAACCTCGCTTTCTGGACTGGGCTATAAATATATAATGTAATGTAGTGGTAGCCTAGCTGACAGGCAAATGGTCAGACCCGCCTCAAAGTATTGGCAGCCTTCTAGATGGAAAGCAAATGAGAATCTCGTTAGACAAAGAGGTGTGTTTACTTCTTTATGAAATAATAATAGTTATTGTCTTGTCTGGATGCAGAACTGAGTGAAAGTAGAGTGAACAGATCAGTGAAAGTGTGTTAAGAAATGTTTATAGAGCACTCTTGAAGGCAGGAGTCTTCAAGTTCAATGACTTTAGCATGAATAAGGAGCTGTTTTAGAACAACTCCAGTAGGTGACTTACCAGATGTGAGTAATGGAATTTGAGGTACTAGCATATTGTCCACAACAGCATACCACAGATTTGGATTCCCAACTCTTTTATTGATGGTACAACCTGAATGCCAGGCACCTACCCTGAAGGACCCTCTCCCTCCATATTTCATGGGGTGGTTGTGCTGTTCAGGTGTCGTAAATGAAATGCACACCAGAGCCGACATAAAATACGTGAAGCCATAAAAATTAAAATAAGTGTATTCGCTAAATTGATTCCATTCCATTGTGGTTGCAAGAGCTGGAGGTTGGCTTTTCAGGTAGACAATATAGTAAACATTGCTATGATCAAACTAAAAAGTGTTTGCTTAGCTTAGAAAAAATTTAAATGGCTCTAACAGCCAATGTGAATGTAACAAAATAACAAACCCTAACGTTCACACAAGTAGGGCTATATTAGTCTAGTGGAAAGGGTGTTGCTTCTTTTGCTTGTAATTTTGTATACTTAGTAATTTGCTGCATTAGTTAATATTGCTTGGACCTTCACACCCCTGTTCTGTCTTCAGATGCATGCATATTCCAATTATATTTGAGGTCCAAATAACTAAGAGCATGGAAATGGAAACCAAGTTTTGAAAATCAGGACTTTGCTTCTAGTGCCCCTTGCTTTAAATTAAAAAAAAAGTCTATTCCTGTCCCAGATATTTACACTTTATATCCACCTATTTCATCTCTAATGAATTATTCATACATGTATATGTGAATACTGTATGTAAAACCTTTCATTAGAGAAAGAGGGCTTCTGAGTTCTGGAGCATATACCAATAACTCCTCCTCAGGTGTTTCTTTGATATACCAGAACATCTTTCTACTGCAATCTTAATCCAAAGTTTCCACAGTGAAATGAGTTTTTGTGCAGTTTCCAGCCACCATCAGAGAGAGCTTTTTCATGATCCCTGTTTCTTCTGCTTGCAATGGTATTTCATGTTTCATATATAATTTTTTTCTTTGCTGGCTGATTTCTATTAAAATCTGTTTATTGTTTCAGAAATTCATTTTGAAGTGGCATATTGCATTCCTACATCTCTAAGCCCTCTGCCCTTCTTCATAGTCCAGACTTTAAAGAGGAGCGGAGGAAGAAATAGGGAGAGATTTTTGTTTCTGAGGATGTCAGGCCTCAGGAGTATCCCGGCTGCATAGTCATGGGGTGAGACATGTTTGGGTAGTGCTGCTGCCTTGTAACCATCAGAAGCAGCATCGAGAGGGCATGGAGAGACCAAACTACTCAGTTTCCATTTCTTAATGTTTTACAGTGCAGTTGTTGATACCAGCAAAATGCTTTCTACACCTTCAGTTTGAATATTGCTTACTGATTTGTTGCTTGTTCAGTCACCAGGCTGCTCCCTCCGGCTTCGTATCTGCCATCTCCTCCCTCCTGGCCGTGTATCCTCCTTCCCTGGCTCTCGCCAGCCTTCCCAGCTCTGACCTTCCTAATTCTAGCTCCAGATTTCTCTTTATTAGTTTGTCTCTATCCAGATACTCCTGCACATATTTATTCAAATTCTGGTACTGTCCCCAGGACAAGGGGTAATGATTTTAAACTAAAAGAGGGTAGA